TTTGATTCGGTGAGCAAGAGAGGTACAGCACACCGTGCATGACAGTCGAAGGCCTGGTTATGAATTCTAAAGGAAATTGTCTCAACACATGAATAATGCATGGAGGAATGGTAGAAGGCTCTGGAATTGCAGTCGCGCCCGTGGTTGCATATATGTACTTGAGTCACGTGACTAAGCTGGACTTCCACAGTACCCATGTAGGTAGGTAAAGTCTGGGATGACGCGATGTGATATATGGGCAGACGAATCGCATTTTGCAAGATGCTCTAGTTTCGCTAGAAGTAACAGGGAAAACTTAGGAGCTACACTATCCAGTGTGAGCGTATGAGCACTGGAAACAAGGGCATTATTAGAAACTCAAAGCCCAACAGAACGGAAACTCTGACCCACTTGATTGAGAAGAATCATCCGAATCCTGTCCTCGAACTGATCTATACATGAAATGCGCTCTGTGCTCAAAATTCATACTGGCACCATCGACGATGATCAGAAGAATTCTGGTCAAGTTGTTCTGATGGACAGATTCCAATGGTCTTACAACAATCATCAGCCTTGCCAATGTTGATGCCACAAGCGCATAACAAAACTCAGTCTTGCAAGCTTTAAACTCAAACCCAGCTTTTCAAAACCTCGAAAACCAATATCGAATTTTCGAAAGAAACCATAAGAAGTAAACACCGGTAGGCACCTCAAACGTCACCTCCCGTTCACCCCCTGAAACGCAGTCCCACCCCGATTTCAATCAAGCGCAGCTAAGCGTCCTCTCACTAAACAACCAAACGCAAAAAGCACAATAAAACATATAAAAACACATCAAAACTTCTAAACAGAGTTTCCGCACGCCCTGCCCGAATGGTCATACGCTCGGGGAATTAAAAGCGATGTGCAACAGACCAATTAACGCATTAACAAAATCTTATGTCTCACTTCGGGATATTATCTTGTCATCAATTACGCATTCAACTACGTAGCCCTCCCTTATGCGTCGTCGCTGGTCCATAATTCCCACTCACTCAAACCAAACATCATGTCATGCATGTCATAATGGAGATGGGAGATGGCAGATGAGGATAAAGGTGGATGATCACCACACATTCCCATTGTCCCACCCACTATCCGCCTGACTTTCCCCTTCCATGCCCTCCTCAATCCACTCCATCTTCTCCAGCTCCCTCACAAAGAAATCGCGCTCTTCTTCCAGCAGCTTGGTATCAGCGCCCATCTGGTCCGGATACCGCTTGATATTGTGCCAGTGGGTCAGGGCCCGCAGGGCTTGTTCGAGAGGCAGCGCCTCTTCGACTTCGGCGTCGACATCGCTGCCTGCTAGCCAGTCGTCGCGCAGCTCGGGTCGGCAGTGGAGGTACACTGCTGTGATGACGCGCATGTTTCCTTGTCTCCATTTGCGTCCGCAGTATGGTACTTGGTTTTTGAAAAGTTTCAAGGTGTAGAGACGGAGTTCTGGTTGGGGTATCTTGAGGGATTTCTTCAAGATGTTTGAGGATTTGTATTGGACGAGTAGAAGGTTGCGGTGAGCTTTGTTCTTGCAGATTTTCTGCATGATGCGGAGGAAGTTGATGCATGAGAAAAAGTTCCGCCATGAGAACTCCGTGATGGGTTCAGAAGGTACCTCATTAATGGGGTAGCCCAGCTCGTCAACTTCAGGTCGGTCGCGTTTGCCTGCGTGCTGACCCTCTTGGAAAGCTAGCGCAGGCAATTTGTCCTCGGTTTCAGCGACTGGCAGCTCTCGGCGTATCTTAATGGGCGGAGGCGCGGCATCGTCTTCACTTTCTTCCTCTGGGTGGACCTCGGGGAGATTCGGCTCGACACGAGTGTTCTTGCTGTTTGCATTGCAGAAAGAGAAGAAACTGATCAGGGTCAATATTAGGGAGGCACAAGGGAAACGAGAGCTCACCTCATATCATCACGATCTGTCCGGCTATCTACCACTTTATCGATCTCTTGATGAGCGAAAAGTTTTAACACAAGTGGAAGATAGTTCGAATCCAGAAGCAGTTGAGTTAAGTACTCAAACTTCAAGATATCTTTCTGCTGTCAGCCAATTCCGATGAAAATGATCAGTACACTCACGTGAAACCTTAAACCACTTTAAGAGAATGAGAAGGATCCCAGAAACTGCTTTCGCAGTGATCTCTCGTGACCTCATTGCTTCGATCTCATCGATAGGAAGTTCGGCCGGTTCTGCCGTATGTGTGGGCAAAGGGATAAGGGCTGGGTCTTGTTGCCGGGTCGGGCCCTGTGCACCACTTCGTAGATTGATCTCTGACCTAAATGCAGGTGCAAGGCCTTGAGCCTGCATCGGCTGTGTTATCAGAGCCGTGACATTGGCAAGGACTGCTTTGAGAAGCACAATGACCAATGACTGTAGGTGAGGTATTGAATTTTGCTAAGTGATATGAGCGTTGGACTTTCACATGAGGCGAATAACTTACATAGAACTGTTCAATAAGCTCTAACTTCTGCTTTACTTTGTCGCTCACGGCCGGATTTGGTCCGCAATCGATTTCCGGTTTCATATGTTTTGTTTCGTGTAATGAGAGCTTCTCGGAAAGAATGGTGTCTAAATCCAGCTCGTCAACATCAACGTCATCATCCTCGCCGTCCCAACCCCTTTCGAATTTTAGAAACTTTTCTCGTTCGTCCCACAGTTGACGCATCGCTCTGGTCATTCGCATTCTCTTGGCGAACAAGTCCCCTGCCTCGAGAATCGATCTTGGAATGTCGCTTCCTTCCCATTTGCGTCCGACGAGTAGCTCTTGCAAACCAGCTGCACCCTTGCCTCCAGCACTATTACTGGTGCTATCCAATGGAGGGTACATGAATGGGAAGTTTTGATTCGTTTGGTAGTTCTGCTTCTTGCCAGCCTTGCCACCCACTGGCGGAGAAGGTGGAGGAGAAGGTGCAGGGGTAGCAATATGCACTGGCTGATGAAGGATTGAGGCACCGCTACTATTGACGTTCATTGGCGGTGGTAGTATACCATTAGCGCCAGATCTGCTGGGTCGATTGGGTAAGGGTGGGAGAATCGAATTATTGTCTGGCTCGAGGGGTATCAGGGGCTGCGGAGGAATATATGCGGGGTATTTTGATGTTATTTCCTGGCGGAAAATGTGGTAGTCAAGAGGTGAGGCGGTTATCAACTTGCCACCCTCATTGTCTAGATGTCTTAATTCGCTAGTGGCCGTTTTCACTTCCGTTATTTCAGGTGTCCCTCCAAGAACCAGCAAGATGGATTTCCAGAAGAGAAGAAAGATCTACTCAAGTCAATAAAGATTTCTAAGACAATATCAATACGAACTCTTGTCTGTGGCAGCTCATTTGCTTCATCCCATCTGAGTCTTGCTGTAATTGTTACAAAGTAGTCTACGAGACTAGGAACAAGTTTCACTACGATTCTTAGATTTGAATAGTGGCTGAGCTGGGTAGAATAACTGACGAATCTCTGCTCGCCCAGACTCTAGAGTAACAGGATCGTTACGAATGCCCTCGATGAGCAGATAAATGATAGTTGTGACATTGTCTAATTCGTCCTGGATGAACGGTATGTCTTCTTCAAGTAATTGTGTCTCTCGAAACTCATCGTCCCTTGAATCGTGAGCAGAATTCTCCAAGAAACAATGGAAACTAACCACAGCCTTTTGAAAGCACTTTCCATGACTTTGAACAGCACCTCTATACCATCTGCTTTCGTTACCAAAGCAATTCCAAGTTTCATATGCTCCAGCTGGAAGCCCGTAGCATTTGTCCTGGGCTGGGGAGCTGGTGCCTCCATTTCCTTTTCTTTTGGTTTCGAAGTGTGGATTTTTACTCCAGATGCGTTCCTTCCAGCAGTCTCGACCCAGACGCCCAGAATGATATGTAGAATGGTCTGTAGACTTTTGCATCGTCGTCGCAGATCCGTAGCATGAAGACCCTTGACTTCCCGCTCCACAAAGTTTTCCCGTTGTTCCTGTTCAGCTTCCAGCCATGATGTGCCCGCAAACTTCTTCCACCGTCTCTCAAATGTGTCCTTGGCCCGATTTAGGCGCCGGTATTCTGCATCATTGTATGAGAACCACTCGTCCACCTCCTCCTCGAACGATGCCGTGTCGGCGTATGTGAAGGCATAGGATGTAGGATCAATTTTTGGAAAGTCTGTGACGATCTTCTTCAGCTGCAACAAGGACAGAGAGTCATTGGGGTTGTTAAATTGCTGTGGAGCTGGAGGGGGAGGAGGCTGATGAGGCGGGGGCGGTTGCGGTTGATTTCGCCCGAGTTGAGGACGTCCCATGGGGACACTGGTAGGCGGCTGAGGGGGTGGAAGGCCAACATCTGCGAGACCAGTATCTGCCACATCAGCGTTGTCCGTTGGAGGGTTCGAAGGGTCTGCTGGAGCTTTCGCGGTCCAGAGAGAGGCCATCGTCTCGGGGGAGCTTGACGGTGCGGTTTAGTTGGGTTTAACCAAAGCTTAGAAGCATGCTGGGCTGGGAGATCAGAGCTTTGCGCCTGGTGAAATTGGTAGACGCTGCTTGGGCCAAAGTGTAGCTGTATTTACTCGTTGGCAAGACATTGTTAAATTGCCGCTTCACGGTTGACGCGACAAGCTCTCGCTAATGATAGGAGCGATTAGAGATTGATATTCAGGAGACGCTCTTGGAAAGCCCTTCACATGTGAACAAATTCCCACCTCCAAAAAAGAACAGAATACCAACCACTCTCATCCATTAGCTCTGTTCGCAAAATATGGGCAATAACAATTACTAAGGGTGAATGTGTGTGTTGTGGCTTTCTATTTCTTTAGATGTATCTAACTCCTCTAGCTTAGCCTTGAGTGGGGGCCATTAGGCATTCTAGAGTCAACGAATTCTACGCCGCCATTTCAAGCTTCCTTACCCAAAACATACAGTATCTCGCTTAACCCGAGCACAAAAAGAGACCAAAAAAGGAAGAAAAAGGCAAAAATAAATTCAGAAAGAACGCAAAAAAGGGTATTTGGTTGTAGATTCCAAATCGGGGAATCGAACCCCGCGCTACCGCGACCAATATGTGTAAACATGAGAGGCGGAAATGTTACCGATACACCAATTTGGATTTGATTGGTGTCGAAAAGCCATATTTGAATATATGTTACTACCATATGTGCGAGCGGGCTGTTTCGGTCTTTCAAGTGAAAATTGCTTACGGTTAGTGGGGCTTCCAAATAGTGGAGTTCTCAAGGCAATGAAGCACAACTAGAGGCTGGAGGCAACCTAGGCTAGGTAACCTAAGGCAAGGAACCGATTATGAAAGCCCGCGTGGTCACTCACGCATTTCACTAATTCTTTCCTGTTTTTAAACTCTTGGTTCATAATCAACAAACCTTCGAAAAGTCCATTCAATCTTGAACTCCACTTGTAAACTCGGTCCTCAACAAGGCAACTCAAAGTATATTAAAAAAACTACATCTATGCAAAGGTTTTAAAGCAGAGAACCTTCTGAAACTCGTGAGGCTCTGAAAAGACTCGTCTACTCAGATTTAGGTTTACGGACAACATAGGTACTTATGACATGGACTCGATGTGGACAGGAAAGACTTGTACTATGGGAGATCCAAGCCCATATCCAACAACTTTTTAGAGAAATGAGAATGCTCCCATATGTGTTTGACGAGTCTGTCAAGTTATACTCTTTCCCATTTTGCACCTGTTTTTCATCTCACATTCAAAGAATCTTTGAAGTCGCAGTGACGGAGGTGGGGGAGAGGTGTGTTTATAACGCTCTAAAGCCCGCTAAAATGCGGGCGCTACAGCCACCTAAAATCTTTATTTTCACCCCTAAAATTGTGAGGTCAGTGACGCTTTTCTCTAACTTCACACGCCAACGACTCAGCAGCGATTCATGATAACCTCCCATTGCTTTGTAGGGCAATTGCCCTCAAGGTCATTCAGGAATGCAAGATGTGGACAATGGCTGAAGCTTCAGGCCCACCGCAAAGTTTCCTCAACACCATCCCAGAGCTTCCACGCTGAAGCTCAGGTTCCGAGACCCTCAAAGACCCGGAGACGGTGGGCAATTGGGGGTTCAATTTTACTAGTAGCAGCAACGGCAGCCTTGGTAACGGGAGCTAGCCAGAGAAGCGACAAAGTCTTTAATCCGCCGCGCTTCACACCCTTCACTGTCGTCAAGAGGGACATTGTTTCTCCAACTAGCGTTATCCTCACGGTACGGCGATTTGCCAATGGCACAGAAGATCCGTATAGAGAGATGTGGGAGAGAGGAATATGGTCTGTGGAAGTGAAGCAGCCAGAACTTCAAATTGCGAGATCGTACACCCCCCTTCCACCCATACAGCCCGTCGAATACAGCGAGTTAAGGTTCTTGATACGCAAGGAACATAAAGGGGAGGTCTCAGGGTACGTGCACAATTTAGGTCTTGGTTCGAAGATTGAGCTGCGAGGTCCACACCCTGGGTTTGATATACCGGAGAATGTCGCAGAGGTTGTATTTTTGGCGGGTGGGACGGGGATTGCGCCTGCATTGCAAGCTGCCTACACTACACTGGAAAAAAGAAATAGGCAAGCGAGGGTCAGAATCGTTTGGTCAAATCGCAGGAGAGAGGACTGTGAAGGTGGAGGACAAACGAGCAGCATGGGTTGGAAGGCCGAGGAGGAGACTGGACTTATCGTCCAAAAACTAGAGTATCTTCAGAAAAAACACCCTGGTCAGCTCACTGTCGAATACCTCGTGGACGAGGAGAAAACATTCTTAACCCCGAAGAAGATATCACAAATATTGAAGGCACGGGGTAAAGGCAATGTGGAAGGCACAAAGCTCCTTTTCGTTTCTGGACCAGAAGGATTCGTCAATCACTTCACCGGGCCGAAGAGGTGGGATGGAGGGAAAGAGGTTCAGGGCGAAGTGACTGGAGTCATTGGAAAGATGGGACTTCGTGATTGGACAGTCTGGAAGCTCTGAAATTACGGACAGATGAAGGCAGCCCCATCCCTTCTTTTTATTGTTTTTCAAGTGTATGAAAACACCAGTTGTCCACCAAGCGGCCCTCGACGGTCATCGTTACAAGGCATAGGACCCTCCTGATTTGAGTACGTGCGCGTCTCTCCATCCTTCCCTAATGTTGCTAACCTAACAGCATTGATAGCAACATTTTCGACTCTCTCAGCTTTTTGAAAGTTATTTAAATACGTCGCCACGTATCCAGGGCAGCAAGCATTTATCTTCCAGCCCTCCTCCCTATACAAGTGCGCATACGTCAATCCAACATATTAAGCGCCGATTTGGAACTCCGATAAATAGGATAGTGCCAATTCCAGCCTGGACCGTAAACGAGCCCAGATTACTTGCATGAAAACCACTCTCGGGTTCTCGCCCCTCCCCAAAAAAGATGCAAATGTCTCGAAAGTCTGTATAGCACCAAAGACATTGATATTGTAAGCTTCGAGCATCAGACCCTCAGGGAATCCTTGCCGGGCTCGTGCTTATCATCATTGGCGATTCTGGCATTGTTGATTAGGACGTCCAAGCGGCTGAACTTGGTTGCTACACTCGAGGCTGCCGCACTGATTGATGCGTCGCTGGTTACGTCGATGGTGATGGCTTGCACATTCTTTGCTTGGAGTTTTGCTGCGGAGGCTGCACCTTGCTCTGAATCCCGACTACCGAGAAGGATGTGGTGAGTCGGCGTGAGCTCCTTGACTATCTCGAAACCAATGCCTTTGTTGGCTCCTGTAATGAGCACGATCTAGATTTCGACAAGGGCATGTTTGAGCAATGAGTAAGCAAATTTGTGACGGTGTGTTGATTTCTGAGGACACCAAACTACAGTCTTCTGGTTCAATAGGAGAAATGGATTTATAGCACTTTCACATCTACGAAAGGGGAAGTAATGTTATGTACAAAGCCCGGTACGAATTTCCATTTCCTACTTAGGCCCCAATCCTTGGCGGATGAACTTGCGAATCGGGAATGGCAGATAGGAAGCAAAAAATCACACGGAGAAATTTACACAAGCATTTTACAATTGATCGAGTTGTCCGAAAGTATTTTTACAAGGTGTCGTATTTTGTTATCGTCAGATTGCTTCCAGACTTGGCTCCATCAAGGTTTGAGTCAAGTTGCTCTCCTGTCTCTGGGATTTTTGCACGGCTTTCGATCAAGTGATCGAGGTAAGAGGTGCACCATTTATCCACACCCAGATCGCTTTTGTTCATGGTGAGCGTCTTGAACCCTCGCACTTGCTGCACAGGACAACATACTCTCGCTGAAAACTCTGGATCACTCGTCTAGTCTCCCGCTGGCAGCGTACTCTGCAGCGGCATGAGACGAAACTTATTGCTTGGGAATGGGATGGAGGTTGTCTTTCAACTCTTCTTTTCCGTCTGTGATGCTCGGTATTCATCTCGTCTCAAGCAATTGAATCATCACAAGTCTCACAATTGGCAATGAAAGAAAAGATCAAGTGGCAATCAAACAAGAATTTATTCATCTTGTACTCTGAACCTTCCATCTGCTCCCCTCTCCCTCCCCCGTCCCCGATTCCACGCCGCCTTCCTCGCCGCCCGACTCTTCCCCCCCGTCCTCTCCCTCCTCTGCTTCTTCTTTCGTTCCTATTCCACCATTACCAATCGTCCAAGCAAGATCGAAACCAAACCAAAAGAGGAAAGTCTTACCTTCACCCTCCCCTCCATCACCTCCTCCCTCGTCAAATACACCACTCCCCCACGAACCTTCCTCTCGTAATGCCTATGCAAATCTACAATCGGCGTGGCCTTGGGCCCAATGTCGATAACGTCGTCGTCCAGGTCTGCGACGACCGCGCGCGAGAGGGCCGGCGGGTATTTCGGGGGTCGGGGCGCGGGCCGGGGACGCTTCTCCTTGGCGTTGGAGATGCCGGGGTTGAGTGGAGAGGTGGGATGGCCTCGGGTTGAGACCATTTTGTTCGTGTGGTAGAGAGGTCGGATGGTTGTGTGTGATGGTGGGAGAGAGGTGTGAAAGCTCGAATGACTGCTGGGGAAGAAAGAAGGAAAGGTGGGAAAGGTGGAAAGAAGGGATGTTTATATACATTTGGAGAGGTTTGAAGCTTAATGGGAGGAAAATACAATGAGGGCTCGGGTAGGATTATGGTGTTGTCGCGAGGAGGAGAACAATTGGGACAATTGAGATCGAAAGCAAAACGAGCAAACATAGATCGAGAATTAAGCACTCGTTTGATGTTTGAAATTGGAGGTAGTTGTAGAAACATTGGCTATTGTCTGAAGTTATTGTTGTTGCAAAGCGAGGAAGGGGACAATAGGGGTATTTCATCGCTTAACCGAGGCCGCCCCTGAATTCACTTCTCAACTTACACTTCACGATTCAGATTCACAGACTCGCAAATATGTCTTCTCACAATGAATGCCACTTGTAATGGAATTATAAAGTACTATCATGATAATATTTGGGAATGGTGTCAACATTGGTTGAACCCTGCCCTTCCATTCTCCGTCAAAATGACGAGTCTCGTCTCGCCAGCGACTGGGAAAACTCAAGATATCACAACCTCCTGACCAAGAAACTGCGTGAGACCTCCTCTTTGATGACTTACTGACATATATGCTTCGTGTACCCAAACAAGGTCTGAATTTCATCCTCGTGCTGTAAAAGCGGATTTTACAGATTCTGTTTATTTTTGGCTCTCTCCTCGATAGGGCTTTGCGATCGACTTAGGACTCTCTAGCAAATGCTACTTCAAAACTTCTATTTTGGCTCCGCTAGAGCAGCTTGCATTGGGAAAGGGGTTGTAATTCAGCCCCGGAAGTTGAGGTTCCCTAAGTCGACCCTGAGACATCCTCTTAAGTCGACCCGACCACTAAAATTTAACGGAGACACCCGCGCTAAGCTAGATTCGGCCTGCCTCCTCAGAATTGTATTTTTTCTATCATATCCCAATAACCCCAACCATAGCCTAACCCTAACACCTAACCACTAACCCTAAGCCGCGCTGCGCGCCTAACCCTAATTTTCGTGAGAAAATTTGGGTGCGAATTGAAGTGTGAGAGTGTTTTGCGATGCGTGCGGCACCCAAAAGATTACTGGATTAGGTTACCTCGTTAAGT